TCACTTTGTGCAGTAACAATGGTTCTTCGAGATGTGTGTCCCTGTGGTTGCTCCACTACCCACCCTCCTCCCCTCTATTTCGGAGTTCACACAGCTGAGCTCTGCTGTGGAGAAGGAACGGAGAGGACGGTCGGGGGTGCGCGTGCTACAGGAGGCGCCATCTGCATGAGATGACCCCTGTGCACGCCCTTCCCCCGACAGAGTACTGTTGCGAAAAATCTCCTATCTCCGGCGCAGGGACGCACCAACACCTAGAGTGGAGCACCCACAGGGACACATATCTCGAAGAACCATAGTTACTGCACAAGGTGAGTAACTTCTTCTTTCTTTGCTTCATTGCTAATATTGCATGTCACAAAAACTTAATTTCAGCCACAAAAAGATTGTAGTTTACATGACTTTTCATTAAGATTTTACTTTGCATCAACCTCTTCTCAGAAGAAACCTTCAGCAGTCATTAGATTTTAATTGCCAGGTAATTTTTCTCTACTATAACATTCCAATGATATAAAAAAGTAAATAACGGGGCAGTGAAAACATGGGGAAGTGGGGTACCTTTCCTACTTTTTGATAATACCTGTCAATGCTCATTCATCAGTTTGAAGGGTACTGCATTAAGGTTCCACCAACTGCATCCATTCTTACCAGTGAATAACATTTTTGGCAATCTTCAGAATTGGCGTTAATGCTCTTGAAGTAAGGGAGTATGTTGAGCATAATATTTGTGAATTTCTGTTCTCGGTTCAGGTGACTGATCCTGTGACATTTGTACTTCATAGGTGCCTGATCACCTGTGACACTTTTGCACCCGGACGGTAGAGTTGGTAGAAAATGTCCCCCTGCTTCCCAAAATTGGTCACTGAAATACTGTCAGGCTTCCAGATTATATATCCTTTCCCCAGTTCCATTCATGCTAAACTCTGAATAACCTTATTTCTCAGATGTTAAACATTATTTCAATGTAACCTTGTTATTGGTGTAATATACTGTGTGGAGCCTACTCTATACAGCTGATATAATTACTCATTTCAGCCCTAGTATGGTATATATATATATATATTTACATTTTATCCTGCCCATCTCTTTTCTATTTTCAGTTTCCAGAGTGTTCTTCCCTAGGGATAATTTTCAGTGTTTGTGCTATATTTTATTGGCATGTTAACATCTGGGCCTGCAAATTCCTCATATTCTCTAGATGTCTGGAGCATCTATAGTTCATCCTTTCAGCCTAGAACTTGGAAACTGCTTTGACATCTCTGAAAAGAACAACATCATATCTGCTTTATATTTGTTCATCTTGTCGCATTTCCTAGGAACAGATTGAGAATGTTATTGTATTTCTTTCTTCCATAGTATAGATTGTATATGTAGGACCAGATCATGAAATCCTGGCTCACACTGGAAAACAGTTATTGAAATGTGTAGTCCCATTGACTTTGTGTCCTCATATTTGCCATGTCAATTGTCTCCTGTGGCCTCAGCCCACTGTGTTGTATATGCAACAAAGTTCATTGAAAATTTATCATAGAAATGTTTGTTTTTAAAATGTGAATTAGTATTATTTGTCACATTCATCCTCTGTAAAGACTGGCTCCAGGGTTGGTGGAACAATTTGTATAGTGGGGGCGCTGAGAGCCATTGAACCAAACTGTAAACCCTGTATATAATGGAAACCACTTCAAGCCAGGGGGTTCGGCAGCACCCCCAGTTCCAGCACCTATGACTGGCTTTCTAAACACTATAAATCCAACTAAATGGGCCTGAAAAGTGATTGGAATTAGCATGTCCATATTTAACTGACATAATGCAATTTTTAAGGTCTAATAACTGAGGAACCAACTGGGGCTAAAATCCATCATATATTCCCCTAAACTTAATTCTATCCGTTAAGTTTCTAGATCTTGAACCCGAAACTTGTCACTAGTCTAGCAATAAATATTGTCCATCCTGATCCCCAGGCCACTGTAACTTGGTGTAGGAAACTCCGCAAGTGATGGGACCACTTAAATCCCACTTTTTGTATTTAATAAAATCACTTTTTACTTATTAATTAACCCAGAGTATGTATTAATACCTGGGGGGGGGGGGGCAAACAGCTGTGCATATCTCTCTATCACTGTTATAGAGGGCGAACAATTTATGAGTTTACCCTGTATAAGCTTTATACAAGGTAAAATGGATTTTTGGGGGGTTTGGACCCCATTGGGAGCTGGGTATCTAAGTGCTGGAGACAGGAGCACTTCTTAAGCTGTTTTCAGTTAAGCCTGCAGCTTTTGGGGGACGTGGTTCATACCTGGGTCTGTGTTTGTAGCAGGCTAGTGTGTCTGGCTCAAACCAGGTAAGGCACTGAAGTCCCAAGCTGGCAGGGAAAACAGGCTCAGAGGTAGTCTAAGCACATCAGGTGGCAGTCCCAAAGGGGTGTCTGTGATCCAACCCGTCACAACATGCTAGCATTTGTTCTGGGAAACGTACAATAATGGACAGAATATAGAATGAGGTGATCATTGGTACATGAAAAAAATGACCACATAGTTATCATCACCATTTTAATGTGGTTTCTATCTAATCAAATCTTTTATCAAAAATATATCCTATGCTATGCAAAAGTTAACTAAAGGTTCTGTTTTGCCACCCCTCTTGTTCATTGTGTTCATAAAGTCCTTGTGGAAGATTGTGAGACTTTCTGGGGTGCAGTCATCACACTATGCTCGTCATCCCCTTCTTATTCTACCCATATTATACAGCTTCACTATCTTTCTAGTGGCTAACTGAGAGAAAGGATGGTCTAGTGCAGTGTTTCTCAAACTGGGTTCCACAGACCATGCTGATCAACTCCTCCCTCTCCCTCCCAGCTCTCCTGCACGCCGAGGAACAGCTGTGTAGCAGCCTGCAGGAGGCACTGGAAGGGAAGGGGAGGAGTGGGGATGGGATGAAATCATGTCCGAGGCCACTGGCCCTGCTGATCAACTCCTCCCCCACCCTCCCAGTGCCTCCTGCATGCTGCAGAACAGCTGTTCAGTGGTGTGCAGGAGGCACTGGGAGGGAGAGAAAAGAGCAGGGATGGGGCATGCTCAGGGGAGGGGTTGGGAAGAGGAGGGGCAGGGGTGGAGCGGGGCCAGGAAGTGGTGGGGGAGGGCTTGGGGGAAGGGGTGGAGTTGAAGCAGGGCCTGGGGCTTAGGGGTCCATGAAAAATTTTAAATCAAAATGGGGGTCCTTGGGTTGCTAAAGTTTGAGAACTGCTGATAGCATTTAGGGTTCTAGCCTAGCACATGGCTACAGGCTTCCTGCATGACCTTGGGTGAACTGAGCCTCACATCTGGGAAATAGGATTAGCAGTACCTCCCTACCTCACAGGATGGCGTGAGGATATATCCATTAAGGATTGTGAAGTACTCGCATACTATGGGTGATGGAGGCTATATAAGTACCTAAGATAGATGTGTTTTATTTGCCTCCAAACCTATCTATGACATAACTGATACTTGGCATAAGGAATTATCTGGGGGGGTGTCTGCACCTATTATTGAAGGTATTTTGTTGATCTTTTGCCAAAAACATTTGCAATCTGATGGCCTACTGGAGCCATTTCACTGCTCTTTGATTCTCAGGTAACAGTAGTGGCCCATAGCAATTTTTGCCATCCTTTGTTTCAATTGCATATTTTACTGTAATGTTTCTCAGAGCAATGGATGAGGGCTTTTTATTTGAAATAGGTCAAAATAGGTAAAACCGAAGCTGGTCACTGGCCAGACTTTACATGTGGCCATCCTTTGCTTTTTTGTCACTTAAAAGATAATCTATACTTTGATACAGGTGCAGCATGCAGCTGTCTGTTTTGTAAGTATTGTGGGCTGGAGATTGTAAATTTAGGCCCTAATCTTGCACTTTTATCAGTAACTATACATGTAGCCCCATTTACTCATGTGCATAAAGTTATTCCCATATCTATCTGCAAGATCAGTACCTTAGAGCGTAAATTCTTTGAGACAGATATTGTGTCTTATTCTAAGCTGGAATTTATCACATGGAAATGTAACTAATAATGTGTACTTAAAATCAGACCAACTGTCTGAACTTGTTTCCTATTAATTTCTGGGTGCAATTCACAGTGCTGACTCTTATTCTTAAAGTCCTGAAGTTTCAGGGGCTCAGGTAAATGCTTTATGGAAAGCACTGCTTATTTTACATCCATTGAGGTAGGTGAAATCAGATTGAGATACATTTTATCTTTAAAAAAAAAAAGTACCAGCTTGGTGGCTGAGCCTTCTCTTTGATGGTCTACTGAAGTTCAGGGCATGATGTAATTCTCATTTGTTTTAGTTCGTTTTATTTGAATTGGATTTGTTTTCAGTTTTGTTCAGGTTTTGGTTGTCAATTAGGCCATTTTGTATTTTGCACCAAGGTCCACTGAGGCATGCTTCTTTCAGACAGGGCAGTGGCAGCCATAGTGGCATGCCACCACTTGTTAAAGATGGCAAATGTAATGTATACATGTCAAGTACTGAGAATTAAAGTGCGTTGAGAAGGCACTAAGTGCTATTTAAAAACAAACCACTTTCTGACGTAGTAAAACTATGAGCCCACAAATGCTTCCACATGTGAGTAACCCCATGAAGTTCAGTGGGCTGTTATGCGCTTCAGTGGGTGGAGGAGCAGGGCCAAGGTGCCCAAGGATGGTTAAAAACAGCCCAGCAGCTGCTTTCCCCAGGCCTGAGGCTGGCAGTCCCCAGCTCGAATCGTGCCTCTTGGCGGGCTGGCTGGAGGGTTTGTGTGGCCTGAGCCAGCTCCCGTCTCCGCTTCGGCTTCCCCTTCTGCCACCTGCTCCGTTGTTCAAGGGCGGCCCTTGTGCGCTCTCGCTGGGGAGGGGGATGGATCCGAGCAGCCTCCGCCCTTGTGGCACAGCCAAGGAGCCGACGGTGGGTGGTACCGAGGGGGTCCCCGGCCCCCGCTACCTGGCCCGCGGGTGGCGTTTAGGACCCGATCCCCCGAAGGGCTGGGTCCCGGGCAAGGGGGCCCCTGGCGCGCCGGGGGGCGGCCCTGGGGCTGGAGGCCGCTCTGCGCAGCGGCGGCGGGACGCGCCGGCCGGGCCGGGAAGGGGCGGGGCTTGGCGCCGCGGCGGCCCTGGTACAATAGGGCTCCTGTGTGCGGCCTCCGCCGCCTGCCAGAGCCAGCGCCAGCAGCGAGCCGCGGGGCCGGCATGAGCGGGGCGGCCGGGGCCTAGGCGCGCGCGCGGCCGGGGACTGGGGAGGCGGCGGTGGCGGCAGCAGCGGAGACGCCCCGGCCGGGGAGGGCGATGAGCGGCGGGGAGCGGCCCTGAGCGCCCCGGAGCCGCTGCGGCCGCACACGCCGGGGGACGCGGGCGCGGCCAGAAGGTGAGCGGGGCCCTGCGGGCTGGAGCCTCGTGGAGGCGGCGCGGGGCAGTTGGCGCCAAGGCCGCGGGGCTGCGCGGCTCCCTCTCCCGGCAGGGCCGGGGGCAGCAGCGGCAGCAGGGCCCCGAGCGGGGCTCGTCTCCCCGAGCGGCTCCGGGGCACCGGCCCCGGACCGGGACCCGAGGCAGCATTTGGGGCGGGGGCGCCAGCGACCGGGGCGAAGGCAGCAGCGCCTGGCGGCGGCGCAACATCGGGGTGCGGGGGGTGGGTGGATCCTGTGGGGTGAGCCTGGGGCTGGCTCGCTCGGCAGCTCCTCGCAGAGCTTTTCTCTCCCTTTCGGCCCCCACGTGTGTCGACAAAGGGGCAATAACAAGTGCATGAGCCGCAAGCGTCCCTTTGATTTCTCTCTGCTTTTCTCTCTCTCTCGGCTCCCGCATTGTGTGCTGAATTAAGGCTCTCGCAGGCAGGGGTGCTGCCACTTAAGGCCTTGTCAGTTCAAGAAAGTTGCACCAGTTTAAGTAGCATTGTGATCTTTTAAAACCGATTTTAGTTAAACCCGTGAAAACCCTGTGAGGGCACAGTTATTTCTGTTTAGAGTGGCTTATTTTGATGTAGCTTAAATTGATTAGTGGGTGTAAGAAATAAATGCCCCCCTGCACGAAAACGTAATTTGTGTAGATGAGCCCCTTGTGCAAATCAAGCTGAAAGCAAAGGTGATTTGTGGTTCGGCTCACCAGGTCAGCGTGCACTTATGTATTTTTTATTATGATCTCTTGGCACTTAAATTATAAATACTGTGGTAATGCCAAAAGAACCAATCAGGGCCTTGTTACACCATGCTCTGCGCATACGCCTAATAAGAGAAGTCCATGCTGAAATGTTCTTTGTTCAGTGCAGATAGATGTGAAGACTTGTTAGTTTCTGCACCAGTCTGCTTAATCATGAAAGAGTGCATTTGGGTGTGGTGGGAGGTTAGCCTAGTATGCAAAATGAGAATTGCCTTGGGAATAAATGAGGACATATTCTGCCATGAGGAATAAAGTCAGACTGAAAAGTATGTAGCTTATGTGGAAGAGTTGTCTTAATGTCTTTATAGTATGTGTTGGCAGTATTTCTCACTTGATGAGTGCAGGTAAATCAGACAGATTTTTCATGAATCTGAAATACTTGATCTTTTAGCTTTAAAAACTTCTTACTAGATAGTAGTTTAGCTAAAGTAATACATACTTGCATCATCTTTACATGTACACAGTGTTAGAAATACATTACTCATAGCCTAGTGCGATGCAGGTAAGTAGTATCATTACTTTACAATGGGGAATCCCAACAGAGTGCCAAATGTCACATTTATGCCTGCATCTATAACTTTCACTCCATGCATCTGAAGAAGTGGGTTTTTTACCCACAAAAGCTTATGCCCAAATAAATCTGTTAGTCTTTAAGGTGCCACCGGACTCCTCATTGTTTTTGTGGATACAGACTAACACGGCTACCCCTCTGATAAATGTCACGTTAGCGCTGGAATTAGAAAGTGGAAGTTTCTATTGCTGCCGTTCCAGAAAACATCTTTCAGTACCCTTCATATTGTATTTGGTTAATGTTGTCATGCTGTTTGAGACAGGCCTGTCTTATTTTACACTTGCAGAGCTCCCAACACAATGAGTAGGTGTTACTGTAATGCAAATAATAATGCTTACAAATCAACTATATTGTATGACAAGCCATGCAAGAGTGTTAAAATATGGTGCAGCTAGAGATATTTACTCTTCCATTTTCACATTTTTTAAATACTGCACTTTCTTTAAAACATAATTTCTGTGAATCAAGCATTTTTGGTGTTGTGAAAAGGTTAACTATACATGATTCAGAACTCAGGGTGGAAGCATATTTCTAGGTGATTGTGAGCTTTAAATTTAATCCAATGATACTTTGGACTAAACAATTGAAAATCTAGGTTTAAAAAAAAAATCTGCATTTATCCTGCTTTCCATTTGTTTATATATGTGGCGGAGGGGAGACAACTGTTTTGGTTGGCAGTCCTGTAATTGAAAAGCCACCATCCAGTTGAAAATGTCATTCCCATATGAAAATTTTGTATCTACTATTGCTATAAGTAACACCTAATATTATAACTGGCAGAGATTAGAGAGCTGTTCTTTTTAGTTTTTCTTCATGCATTTGACAGCAGTTTGTGTATGACAAGATTCACTGTTTTGTTAATCACTTGCACTTCTTACATCATGTAGGTGACACACCTGTGATATGCTGTTTGGGGGGAGCTCAATTGCATCTACTATTCCCGAACAATACATGAGGATATTTTCAATTTCAGCTCTGATTAAGCTAAAATGCTGGGGGCATGGGCATGTGCACAGAGAAGAACGGAAAGATCTGAGCTTGGTAGTGTAACTCTTAAGACTGCCCAGAAGACCCTTAAAAATTATAAAGTGGAAATCAGAAATACCTTACAAGCTTTTTTTAAAGTAAATGATATTGAAAGGCTCTTCTAGTAGAAAAATGAGTTTTCAAATGAGTCGATTTAAAAAAAAAATTATTTCACAGTAGGGTGTGCTCTGAAACGATTTGGGTCTTTTTTGTGTGAATTCCAGTCAGACTAGACATGACATGCCTTATATTTTTAAGTCTTAAGGAAAGCAAGGGGAACAAAACCTTTGCAGAGGTGGGAAAATCTTTCAGTTTTTGTGTGGACTATAAATCACCAAAAAAAGCTATAACCTCTCCATCCCCCTTTATTTTTTAGGTCACCTTTACAAAAACTGCTTCCTTAAGATTCTGAGAAATCTGAGCAGCTGTTTTCCTTGTTTTCTTTCTAGAGTGAGCAAGTAATATAACAGGTACCTGAAGCAAAGATTTGCAAAGGAGATGACACATGAACACCTGTAGTGGTGTCGAAACGTATTGCCAGATTAGGGGTCTATTGAAATCAGTAGAATCTTCCGTGAGTATAAGTGTTTGCATTAGGGGGCCTCTGGGCAAGATTGGGGTTAAACCCTCTTTCCCTTTCTACCTGTTGCTTGTGAACTCACTCTGACAGAGAAACCATAAAGTTTGTGTTTCATTTCTTGGGATCTCAGAGGCTGTCATCCTTGTTATTTTAATAAGGTAAAACTAAATTATATATTTTTTTATCTTGTCTTGTCATTTTTAAAAATGGCAGTTTACCTGTAACTTACTTAGAGTATGTTTTCCAAAAGCTATTGTTCTTTATTGCTGAACTTCTACTCTTGTGGAGAACGTTGAGTGCATTTTGCTCTTAGCAGTTCTTTAAAATATTTATGGTTGTGGCTTCAACAGGAGATATTGAGACCTGCCCCCAAATACCCCATAGTCCAGTGTTGGGGCACTCTTCTGGGAGGTAGACGACCCAAATTAAAGACCCAGCTCTGTATCAGGCACAGTGGGGATTGAACCTTGGTCTCCCAAGACTCTTGGTGAGTATTCCAGTAACCATTGTGCTAAAGGTTACTGGGAAGGAGGGGGTGGCACGACTGCCACTTCTTGCATCTGTTGTGTAGGTTTAGGGATGCTCAGAACTTGTCTCCTGAATTGGGCCCCAAGGCAAGATAGGCGTGGAATGCCTCGTTTGAGAATCCCACTGGGGCGTAGGTGGGTGTGATTTAGGCACTAAGTTGGTGGGCAGTGTCATCACTGAGCTGGCTTTGCACATGTCCAGCTGTCAAAATGTAGGCACCGTAGTGGCTTT